CCTCCGGAGGACCCGGCCTGTCGTTTTGGACACAGCCAATGGGTGCAACCAACAAAACAATTTAATAACAGTCTTTAAAATACATAAAAGGAACCATTTCGTAGAATTTAAGTAGACAAACCTTCTCCAGCCTCTCAAAGTACTCTCTGAGGAAGGCCATGGGCCGGTCCGGCCTGGAGGTGCACAGCTGGACAATGCAGTCCTTCAGCAGCTGCTGAATGTTGTGTTTCTGCACATACTGCTCGCACTCCCTCAGGCTCCGCTCCTCCTCGCTGCTCGTACTTCCAGATGCCATGACGACAGCYGCGACCCTGCTCTGTAACCTCTAACCTTTATGCTGGGAATGAAAAGAAGAAGACGCTTGATGTCATTTTGTGACGGCCCAGCGTGAATTTGTTGGGTTAACTAAGAAAAATACAAGYGTGTCAGTGTATACTTTTGTCAGGATAGGGTGGGGTGGGGTGGGGGGCAGATAGAAAGCAGGAAAATGTGAGAAAAATCGAGGCAGTGTGAGAAGGTGCGGGGAGATGGGGCGTTGTTTTATCACGATGGAGTGATAAAACAATGGAGTGCTCGTAAGAAGGGAAAACTGGTCAGACGTTGTGATAACGCACATGTGATTCTGGCGAAGACGGAAACAGAAACACACTCTAAGTTTGTTTGTGCGAGAAAAACCCCACCCCTCTCAATACATCCATTTATTACAGACAGAAAGGGCCAAAAACGGTCAGTGAATCAATCTGCTGTTCATCAGACCATAAAAGCAAGCGCACACATTTGGGTTTTCAACACCACAAGGGAGTTTCAGAGCTAAACCGCCTGACAGGGCCTTGATCGGCTGATTAGCGCCGTTCACAGAAGGTTCCTCTGTTAGCTTTGTGCTTCATCTGGCAGTGTGGTCTGAAACAGGAAACCCCTAAACTCTGGCTGCAATCAATGTGTGCATTTTASAGGAATAAATGAGGGAACAACAAGTCCTGTGGAGCAAACAGAACAATCCATTCTGGGCCTGCAAGTGGAGTGTGCATCAAGTGCAAACACAGTAATGGGGTTCATGTAATGTCTAATCTGACATGGGCCAATGAGTGTGACATTGTGTTATCAAAGATGAGAGTCTGACATAGACTCGTGCAACAATCTACACATGTGGAAACTTGACATGCTTGTTTCAATACAAGATAACATTAAAACTAGTAAATGATGCTGTTTTTAAAAGATAAACTAAAAGTCACTCACTGGGTCTTGCATAACAGGCAAATCTAAATTGTTTCTATTTTCAATGTCTGATCAAATAAAGATTTTAAATTACTGACCCTGCTGCAAATGTAGCAGATTTTCCTCTGCTGCCTGCAGAAAAAAAAGAACGCCAACTTAAAAAAAAATGGCTGTCGTGCAAATTGACCTTGCTTAGAAGAGAACTAAGAGGTTAGATAATAGTACACATCAAGTAAACAACTAACGTAAGAAATATAATCGCCTTTAGAGTGTGTCTGAAGCAAATGCCCTGTCTGTAGCACCGTCTAGGTCAGGAAGGCTTCACGACGGCTGAATAAGTTACTTACAATCCAAACCAAAATACTCTAAATTATTAAAGAGCACGACTAAAAATAATATTGAGCGTTTAACAAAGCTTAACTATTTATGGCCTGAGTTTTAAGCTAACTGCGTTTGGTTTGATGCCTGGCTGGCCTGCTCCCTGTGCAAAGGCAAAGCTCTTCTCCAGTGACGCCATCTTGAGTTCTATCATAAACAAACGAAAAACGCAGGAAACAAAAAGTCACCCGTGCAGGGGTCGTAGGTTCCACGAGCCAAAACAAGACAAATACTCACAAGAAACTTTAAAATCCTACCGAGCCTTTCGAAAAGAGACTCGGGGTATTTATTTCACAAGCGCTCCGTTACCAGATCCTCCTCCTCGCTTCGATTTTTTTTCTCCGAGCTTTGGACCGCTGCCCCACCGGATACGGCTGAGAGCCAATCAACAACAGTCACTGACGTCAATCCTCCCCGTTCTGACATGTGAGCCCATAACCCGTGGCAACCTTAAAGGGGACGGCACGGAAATCATGACGTAAAGGAAATGAATTGAAAGAAATATATAGATTCACATCTGAATTTTTAAAGTACAGTYAGCTTCAGCACTGTGTCTGCGTTACTTTAAACAACACGCAACATGAAAACATAAAACTAGAAACTTCATTTTGTGAAAAATAATTAATGAAATAAAATAAATCCAGTTAATGTTTCGTGAAAAATTATGTCTGAAGTTTGCTAAAGTTGAGAGTTGAATTATCAAAAAGAAAGAAATTGTATAGGTCTTCTGGACGGGTTCTTCTCTAATGAAACGTTTCGTCTCTCCTCCAAGAGACTTCTTCAGTCTGAGAG